TGTGGTCATGAAAGATGTTCTTAGCTCTTTCTTAATCGCCTTGTGTTCGGTCTTGATGTCTCCAGCAGAAGCACTGATTTTGTGACACATGTTAATACTGTAAAGGAAATTTGGTAGAGTTCATGTGATTTTTTCTTTGCACACTCACATTTTACTAGAGCTTAATCCTGCATATTTGTGCTGTGTTCACTATATAACATAATTTACTAACATTGCCTGTTTTTTCTGCTTGGGTTACAGAATAGTGTAAGTGTACGGCATGTGGATAAGCCATGATGGTGGCGTGAAGTTGGAGGAAACGAGAGGAGGAGGAGATTGAGAGAGGGGCGGTACATGTAACTTAGGCACACCTCGTTTGTTACTGTAGTGGATGTCGAGTGTTGTTGTAACTGGTGCTTGCTTGTGTCAACACTGTGCCTTCTTCCCTTGTGGGTCAAATAGTCAATACACAACCCTGAGGCTTTGCACGTGAGTCATTAGGGCAAGCAAGTGCTGGCTTGTGAGGGGGCTTCAAGGTAAGTATTGATGTCAGCTATGATGTATCTATGTGCAGCCAAGCGCCAGGTTCTTGATATGTGGGGGAAAAGATGACTGCGCCTGCATACAAGCCTTCTGATGTACATCACCGCAAAATTTGGCCATCAGTGCAGTCACATGCAGGATTCCCCCACAACAAGCACCCTCTGTAATTTAGTCTTGTGTTGCTCTTTAACCCTACTCACAAATTACATATTCCCTGTATGACAATTTTCTGTAGTTACATATTTGGATAGATTAATACTGTATGTAGTTACTGTTCACAGTATAGTTACAAATTTTTTTGGTAAAGTTTTAAGTGTCCATACTACTGTCATGTAGTACTCTTGTTTCTGTATGAATACTGTATATTGCTTGTGTAGTGTATATGTGCATATACAGTATTTTTATAGATTGTTTATGATAGAATCTCTTAAAAATTTTAATGAAAATCGAAAGATATACAGTATTTAAATAATGAAATAGCACAGTGAACAAGAGATGTAAAGTGGAGAAGCGATTGAGAGGTTTAATTGAAAGACTTTCCTCAAAGTCATTTGAGTCGGGGTAGAGAATGTAGCTTGCACTTTAAATTAAAGGTGTACATACAACTATACCTCTGTTGATTTAATGAACAGTTGGTGATATTAGAGGAAAGCTTCTGCAGGAAATAAGTACAGTACAGTAATGTTATACATTACATAGTGTTGGTTAATCAAACATGAAAACACCTTCCAGGAATGGGAAAATGGAATTTATGTTTGGTTTTCATGGGCCTTGTGAATTTCCACACCAAACATCTGTGGCTGGGTTTCAGTTTTGGGGTTGCTCTATATGTAGCATTTTTTTTTTTCTTTCAGTGCTATTATCGATCCCCAAAACGCATAATGGTCTTTGTTTTATGCTTTGCAGATTTCCAGAGCTTCACCCATTAAATGTATCTTTTATTTTGTGAATATTGGTAGTACAGTATTGGGTTAGCACTCAGCAGTTTGATAATTGATTTGAGGTGGTAGCTATATTTCTGTGATTACAGTATTACTATACTTCAGTCACCTTAATTATGTATTGACTCGTGTGAAAAATTAATTTAAGAAAGGTTTATTGTCTAGGTATTCACCACAGTGGGAAGTACATATGGCAGACGAGTGCATTGCAAAGCATACTTAACTAACTGACAACTTTCTGTATTCGCTAATATTTGTACTGTATATTTTTTCAGTGATTTGACCCATTTTTTGATTGAAAACAGGCTTTTTTTCTGGGGGAGGGGGAATATAAAAAGTGGGGTTGGGTGCATAGAGGCTGGAGAAAAAACTTATGTAATTAGCATTTAGTGAGGAGGAGAGTAAATTTAAGTTACTGTAGCTAGTACACTGATCAAGATCAAGCATGTTAAGCTGAGAGTAAAACTTTTTGATGGGATGCATGTATTCCTAGGTGTTAAAATTTTTTTTTTAAATATCTTTATGAAAAATAGGAACAGATAAGTAAAAAGAATTTAATGGGAACTAAGTGCAGTAGCATGGTAATGAAATGGTTGGAAAGGGGGATGGGTTCTTTTTCCGGGGGATTGCATGGGCAGGGTAGTCAGTGTGTGAAAGATCATCATAAGAAAAATCAGTACGGGGGTTTGGGAGGTAGAATATTGACCAGTTGAGAATTAAATCATGGTTTTTTCTTTTAGTATAAAGTCATATGGTACATAGAAAAGTTTATTTTAAACAAAAAATTGCATCCCCCTGGCCCCAAAAACTATTTAACAGGTTTGTATAACTGTTTAACTTTTTTTCCCCATTTATAGTATTGTAGCTGGGTAGTAAGTAGAAAAATGATGGGCCGTGTGTGATAACCCATAATTGTGGCTTTAAAAAATATTTAAAATTGAATGTTCTTGCATTTTTTCAAAAAAAATTTTTTATTATTTTCAGAATGGACAAAAATGGCACTCTGAAAATAAGCTTTGACGAGTGGAGAGATACTTACGTTCCATCACAGCAAATCTTCATGATATTATTTTACTGGGGAATGCCATAGTAAGTTTTGAAGATAGCCCGTTTTACCTTGGCATTTAAGAGTGAAATTACTCTTTTTCCCTTTTGCCACCTTAAAAAACCCCCACATTCACCTCTCAAGCAGAGGGGGAGTTTGTCAAAAATTTAAAATATATATTTTTCCCGTATCTTAAATACAACTTGGGTCGTAACCAATAGTGTGTATTGGGTTTTTGTCAAGGGGGTTACTGTGAGGGAGCACAGTGGAATGTGTAGTGCTTTTTGGGGGGAGAAAATGGGGTGGTTTTTCTATCAAAAACTGCAACAGTATTTTTAACAGGGAAAAGAAAAAATTGTTTCCAATTTTTGATCCATGATTTTTTTATTGATAGCTTAACATTTATGATGAATAACCTTATTGGGGGGTGTGCAGCACTCCTTAGCCACCCGACATACACACCCCCGGTAAGGGAAAAACAAACAGGCCCGAAACCCCCGTCTGCAAGAGTAGATAATTTCAAATTGCCCAAAACCCAAAATGTGTGTAGATCATTACATTAAAAACTATATTATGGGTTTTGGGTTTAGACAATAAGTATACACGACAGTATTATAGGGGATGTTTTTTTTTATATAAAGAACTTTCAATTCATCCATGGTTATATGATAGTGAAGCTTCAGTTGGGTTTTCAATGAAGGGGTTTGTTTAAAAAGAAAAATTTTTTTGTATCAAAATCCCCAATGCAAATGGACATGGTCCTTTTAAAACTCCAATAGTCCATTGTTTGGGGAGCCCATGGATACACACACCCCCCAAGGGAAAAAAATCTTGATGCAGTAGACTTGGTCTGTTATATTAGAAGCCTACCAACCACACACACACACACTACCACTAATGGACAAAATTTCAGTGCACTGGACTTGTCCATTGCATCACAGAATTGTACAGCCAGATATTTTGTCAGTTATGTTCAAAATCTATAACATAGGAGTCTATTATATTGAGTTTTACTTTGTATACCTACTTCATGGTAGATGTAGAGCTGAGTTAAAGGCAAGGTTAAATTGACCAGGTAATTGTGTGTAGTACATACAGAGAATGATCACAGTCGGCAGGATTCGATCCCACTACAGGGAAACTGGCAAGGTTCCCAAAGTGACACTCTACACCACTCAGCCACAGATGCCTCAAAAGCTGGGCAGCCTGGTTTACAAGCCATGTTTTGAGGCATTTGTAAACCTTTTATACTTTCATTATTTTTAATAGTGGAAAGTTATTTAACCAGTTAACTATATCAAGTTTTGCTATTAACTATAGTACTGTTGATGTAAAAGATTTCAGGGTTTATCTTGTTAATGAACTGCTAAAGCAATAATAGGGAATATGACTAAACAATTATATCACATTTAGTGATGTGTGTCTTCATTCTGTACATTATTTTGCAACATTAGATAAGCTGAAAGCAGTGCAAAAAATTTACTTATCAGTATATATTATACACATGAGATTTTTTTTGTCAAGTGTTGTGTAGTCTTCCTCTTGTGATATTCTTTATACAAAATATTTCCACTGAAAATTTCTTTACAATAATTTTCAGAATATCGTAGTACCGATATTTTTTGCAAGTGTTGGATGTTTGGTATTGCCAATACGTTTGGTAGAAAGATGCCTGGAACAAAGTCAGCTATTCATATATTCATATGGTTCACTGAGCTATGAATTGATAAAGCTCTATGCAGAATGAAACTGTAATAAAAGCTTGCTCTATGTACCTAGTATCTTTCTACCATTTTTTGTGGCTTCCTTTTCAGTTCATCATTTTCACTTACCTTGTGGGTTATCTATCCTTCGAGAATGTACCCGAGGCAATGGTGTCAGGTGTCTCCACACTTTTACTCTTAGCAAATATACCCTGTAGTTTTACCATACCTTTTGAATGCTGATCAGTATCAGCATTCTTTTCTACTTAGCACAGCTCCTCAAGGAAGGTTCCTTGATGTTGGTGAGGGGCTCTTGATTTAGGGAATTGGATCTGTGCTCCAGTTCCCCGAATTAAGCCTGAATGCCTTCCACATCCCCCCCCCCCCCAGGCGCTGTATAATCCTCTGGGTTTAGCGCTTCCCCCTTGATTATAATAATAATAATAATAATTCTACTTTGCATTTTATTCATATCACCTTACTTTCTCTTGCTTCATGAGGTACACAGGAGCCAACAAATCTTCTCTTTACATTCATCATCTTTATTGGTCTTGTAGCTACTTACCAAAAGTCCCTCAGATACCTATAAGTACTTATCAGTTCCATAAATTTTTTTTTTTTTTTGCTAATGTTTTGCATAGTATTAGTTAATAAACAACAAAATCTGATAAATGTTACTGAATAAAAATTGCATGTTGTGATCAATATTTGAGACTTCCCAGGTTATTAAACTAATTATATGCTATACAAAATATGGGTTTACCTTCATTGCAATGTTACATTTCACAGAATCTTGACGTTGGTGAGGATCTTTCTGTACCGGAAGATTTTTCTCTAGAAGAATGGTTGTCTGGCAAGTGGTGGAGACATCTGGTGGCTGGAGGAGTAGCTGGTATGGTGTCTAGAACTTGTACAGCTCCACTGGACAGACTCAAGGTCTTCCTTCAGGTTAGTTATTAATCCAGATATGTACTATACAGTAACTGTAAACTACAATTAGGCATACCAGCTAGCTCCCTTCAAGGTGGTGCTGTGATGTCATTGAAGGACTCTTGATCCCAGTAATTGGAGTTATCCTCCCTTTCCTTGGATGAAACCTGTCTCCCATTCCCAAGGTGTTGTATGACCCTTCTCCATAAATAATAATAATCATAAGCGTACTGGTTAATATGTATGTATTTAAGAAGGGTAGGTTCAGTATTTTAGGCTGATGTTTATCAAATCATCAAAATAATCTGAAATGACAGGTAAAATTGTGATACAGCACTTTATTAAATTTTCTGTGTGGGAAAAACGTAATTTTTTTTCTATACAATAATAGTATTTACTGTGACACTCAGAAATCAAAATTAGAAGACAGCTGAGGTGAGTAGAAAGATGAAGTCAGAATAGGCGAGAGTAAAACTAAGATCAAGTCATGAACGTTCTAAACATTACAGTATTTGACAGTGTGCTGAAAAAGACGAGCATCAATGGAGACAAAACGGGGACTGAAATTCATGTTAAAAAATGTTGTCTATAAGGGGCGATTCTACAAGACACCATTTACAAATGCTGAGAATGTGTGTATGCAAGTGTAATTTGCCTATACAGTACATGTATGTGGTTGCAGGGGTAGAGTCACAGAGCCAGCTTATGGGATGTCTTTGGTCTCTTAACTTTACAGGAAATGTCCTTGAAATCCCATGACTCTGTTAATGTTCAGAGATGATATGTATTACTAGTCATACACTAGAATCAATGGTACAGTACTGTAAATGTCAAGTGTACATCACTTCTTTATATCTACATTGTTCTGGTATTATTTTTATCAGATGGAAAATCATTAAAGCAAGTGGCTAGTAACCCATTCTCCTGTATAAATTACTATAAATTACCATAACTCTGTGGGAGATGGCTGTTGTGTTGAAAAAGAAAATAAAAAACATTAAATCTATAGGGGTCATACAGTACATTGGGAATGGGAAACAGTCTGGTTTGATTTGAGGATGAAGAGTCACTGAACAGCATCAAGACACCTTCCGTGAGGGGCAGTATTCTCATAGTAATATGTTTCAGTATCACCCCACTCTTGGATGACATCCTTCCCTATATACTATCAGTCTTTTTGCCTTGCATCTTTAATGCCCATTTAATCCCTGTAGACTTATTTGAGTTCCTCTCTGATTTTTGTTTTATCATGAAATTTATTTCTTCTATTATTCATATCCAGTACAATATACCATAATTTAGTTTGCATCCTGTAAGTGTCTTGAAATACATAGCAATACATTTGTCATCACTACAGAAAAAAAAACTGATTGATTTTTTTTATAACAATTTTAAGGAGGCTTAATAATTTTGTGTGTGCCTTATTGAATATCGTTGCTTTACAGGTTCATGGAGCTAAACAGTTTCAGGGCTTGGCAAACTGTTTTAGGTACATGTTGAAGGAAGGTGGTGTTACATCCCTCTGGAGAGGCAATGGTATTAATGTATTAAAGATAGCACCAGAATCAGCTTTAAAGTTTGCTGCTTATGAACAAGGCAAAAGAATGGTCTTACAGTTTGGTGGAAGTAGAGAGAGAGAATTGTCAATATATGAACGATTTGTAGCCGGATCTTTTGCGGGTGGATTTTCACAGACTGCCATTTATCCCCTTGAGGTAAGTTTTTCTAATTTTAGTCATATAGTTCTAAGAGTGGTATGAAATGATTACATTGAAAAATATAGTAGAAAATGTTTACCAAAGATATCTGTGGCAGGACACTGAATTAAAAGTTAACCAAAAAGTGAAAGAAATGGCTGTTTACCTTTTCACTGGAAAAGAGAATGAACATTGCACTTAATGTAGATATCAGTCACTCAGAATGTGAAAAAGATTTATTAGTTTTGGCTAGCAGTAATCTAAAGCCAAAACAACAGTACATAAGCATTTGCAATTAACCTAATATCATGAGTTCTCAGGTTATACTTCAACTATTTATCATTGGTAAGGCCTTAGATTATGCTGCACAGTTCTGGTCACTGTATTACAGAAGGAATATAAATGCTCTTAAAAACGTACAGAGGATTCAGAAATCTTTCCTGAAAGAATACTGAATCTGCACTCTCTAGTGAGGTGTAAAATTAGAGGGATGATATGATTGAGGTACATAAAATGGAAGACAGGAATAAATAAAGGGGATATAACGCAGCAGTAGGTTCAAGTTGGAAAAATTTAGATTTAGAAAGGATATAGGAAAGCATTGGTTTAGTAAGAGTTGTGGATGAGTGGAACAAACTCCCGAAAAGTGTCACTGAAGTGAACGCCTTGGGTGGCTTTAAAAATAGGTTAGACAAGTACATGACTGGGTGTGACTTGGACCTGCCTAGCATGACCAGTAGGCCTGATGCAGTGCTCCTTCTGTCTTATGTTACCTACTTTCAACTCTTAATCCCATATACAGTGGACCCCCGGTTAACGATATTTTTTCACTCCAGAAGTATGTTCAGGTGCCAGTACTGACCGAATTTGTTTCCATAAGAAATATTGTGAAGTAGATTAGTCCATTTCAGACCCCCAAACATACACGTACAAACGCACTTACATAATTGGTCGCATTCGGAGGTAATCGTTATGCGGGGGTCCACTGTATTCCTGATGATCTATTGGAATACTTGAAGATGTCATCATTGACTATGTATTTGGTAATCTGTGTTAACAGACTTTAGATTTCTGACAATATATAAAAACCATCTTGTGTGATGGGTGTGCTAGTTAATCATAGTAGTAAACTTTTATACTGATCTTGTAACTGACATATAAATCATGGTAGATAGTTGCACAATGTAGATGTACCAATTTATGTAAAAAAATGTACTGCATTATTGCAAAAAGACATAAGCCTATTTTTTATGTTTTCAGGTGTTAAAAACTAGATTAGCCTTAAGAAAAACAGGCCAGTATAAAAGTATCCTTGATGCAGCTAAGAAGATCTATAGACAAGAAGGCCTTAGATCTTTTTACCGTGGATATGTCCCAAATCTCCTTGGCATTATACCCTATGCAGGGATTGATCTCGCAATATATGAAACCTTGAAGAAAACATATATGCAGCATCACAAAGAAAATACCAATCCTTCTGTGTTTGTCATAACAGCTTGTGGAGCATTTTCATCCTCATGTGGGCAACTTGCGTCTTACCCCCTGGCCCTTGTTCGTACAAGGCTACAAGCACAAGGTAAGTAATTATTTTTTGATAGTCTTTAAACATAGGTTGAAAGAGTCTCATTGCAAAACTAGTTATGCTTCCTTGTTTTTCTTAATTTGCAGCCTAGAAATATTTTTTTCTGCATTCCACCTCTACATTATTTTGAGAAGTCAAACTGAGATTCATTCTACCAGATAATGAATATAATGGTCTCATTAACCATTTGTTTACAGTAGTGACAGCATATCTGGGTCATTAATCTATTGCCATACAAGTTTAATAATTGTTCCTATTTAGAATAATAGGCAACAAAATTGCTGTAAGATGTATATATAGATGGAATACAAGGACACTGGCATTAGTGTGTAAGTGAATGAACCAAACAAGGAAGGATAGAGGCAGCTATTGAGAGAAGTGGGCTATAGAGAGTGTAGGTAAAGAGGGGTTGTCACAATAAGGAGCTGATTTAAGAATGTAAGGCATGTGCACAGCAGAAGTTTGTGGGTATAAGTGGGAAGGAGGTTAAATGGATAGTAAGAGAGAGAAAAAGTTACCATATGAGAGGTGTTTACAATGTTGAAATTATATATAGTAGGCAAAGTATGAAAGGAGGGTTAAGAGAGTGGTGAGGGAGAGAAAGGATGGGCCTTTATCAATAAATTTTGCTGAGAGAAAGAAACAGTTCTGGAGATATTAATAACTGTAAAAAGCCTGACAGTGCTGCATAACCCTTTTGGGTTTAGCACTTAGCTTACCTGAGGAGCAAATGGAGAGGGGAAGTGTTAGCAGTAGAAAGAGGATTAAATGTTGACAGTGACTTCACACACATTGGGCAAAGAGGATTAGCATCCTATAAAAATAAGGAAGAGACAGAGGTAAATGTGGGTAGATTGAAAGGGGGAGGGGTAAAATAGCTAGGACAGATAAAATTAAAACTAAGGTGTAAAAGCATAGTTTTGGAGTGGTACACATATTTGTTCAATATATGCATGAAATGCAAGATTTCAGGTATGTCTTGCTACTTCTACAAGTATGTGTAGTGTGACCTATATATACACACCCCTCTGGGTATTCTTCTATGTTCTTGTTTATTTCCTCTTATCTTCATGGGGAAGTGGAAGAGAATTCTTCCTCTGTAAGCCATGCGTGTTGTAAGAGGCGACTAAAATGCCGGGAGCAAGGGGCTAGTAACCCCTTCTCCCGTATAAATTACTAAATTTAAAAGAGAAACTTTCGTTTTTCTTTTTGGGCCACCCTGCCTTGGTGGGATATGGCCGGTGTGTTGAAAGAAAAGAAAGAAATATGCATGAAAGAGGAAAATACTGGCGAGAGAGCCTATATACATGTAGTTCCTTTTTGCAAGGAAATATGCCTGTTGAATATGAAGTGTATGATATAATTACAGTGGACCCCCACTTAACGATCACCTCCCAATGCGACCAATTATGTAAGTGCATGTTTGTGGGTCTGAAATGGACTAATCTACTTCACAATATTCCTTATGGGAACAAATTCGGTCAGTACTGGCACCTGAACATACTTCTGGAATGAAAAAATATCGTTAACCGGGGGTCCACTGTATTTTATTGAAAGAGTTAGGGGTAAGAAAGCAGGAGTGCATATGAATATACAGGATTTAGGAAGGGTAAGGAATGTACAGTTTAATATTGAAGCACATAAGTGAACTATTTGTTGCATTTATATATTTAGAAAAGGCATGTGATAGTAGGAAAGCAATGTGGCAGATGTTGGAAATACATGGTATAGGTTACTAAAAGCAGCAAAGAGTTTTTATGCAGAGAGGGATGGATTACTGTCCAGTAAAAGTAGTTTAATGGTTAAGATTAGTGTTAAACACAATTATGCTTGTGTGGTGCAAAGGAACAATTTCTCATCTTATGAACTAGGAATGTGCTGAACTGTTACAGAAAGTGCTTAGCAGCAGCTCCAAGACTACAGATTATTCCTAAGAGTAGAGGGTTTTTAATTTTGCCTTGTCCCACATGCACATCATACTCGAGAATAGGAACAAATATCGGGCTAACACATTTGTCCAACTTTATCCTCAAATGAACATTCCTGGGTAGCACAGCACTGCAGTAGATCTATCAGACCTACCAGCCACATACAAATATAGAATAGAGGAGCATTATAGTAGACATAGCCCAGCACTCAGGTCAACTTATTATTCATAATTTTTAAATTTCATCTTTAATGAAGTTCACTACATTTGAATGAAACATTGTGTACTTGTAATAAATATTCTTTTGTTTTCCCAAGTCTTTTTATCAGTACTCACAAATTGGCTTTTGCTGGCATGACTGTTAACCATATTCTCCTTACTCTGCCTTTTGTATATTTCTATATTGCAAACGTTTCTCATCCCTCATCTCATCATTCGGACAAATTTTAACAGTGCATTCTAGCACTGCACTTTTAACTTTACACTATACCTCTTTGATCTCATCATTTGTTTTCTAGCATTTCTCATACTTATTTACTAACTGAATTCATTGTTTACTTGCAGTGATAACTCCAGGTGTGGTACACGACCACCCCATCACCATGTCAGGGCTGTTTCGACACATATTCGCCACTGAAGGGGTGTTTGGTCTGTATCGTGGGATTACGCCAAACTTCATGAAAGTGGCGCCGGCTGTGAGCATCTCTTATGTTGTGTATGAAAAATGCCGGCAAGCACTAGGTGTAACAATGACTTAATGTCCTTGTTTCTGTTTTAAAGAAGGTCTTTTGAAATGAAGTAATTTAAAAAAAATTGGTATTATTACATCATTTATTAAAATGTTATATAAAAACATTGGCAAAATATTAAGTTTAAATTTGATATTTTAATTGCTTAAAAGGTTCTGCTGGTGTCTAATTTGTATGGAGTACTTCATGTGTCTATACTGACCTCCATGTTAGTGCAATAGAAAACTGATTCTATACTTTTAAAGCATATTACTATAAAGAATTAAATGTTTCCAATAAACACCCAATATTATAAAGTTGTAGGATTTTTTTAAGAACCTTATCTGAAGGAGTGGTTAAGCAGCATTATATTACCCTGGACAATTACCTTCTAAAGCTGATCATAAAACCCACCCAGTTAAGTGGTGAAACCATTTTTATGTTAATTATAGCTATTTGAATCAGTTATTCTTATAATTGTATGACATGAATGAACAGCACATTTTGTGAAGGTGATTAAATTTGCAAACAAAATGAAAGAAAAAATGTTATGCATTTAGTTTTTTTTTTTTGGTTGTACTTACACCTCTATGAAGTTATATTTATTTTTGAGAGGAAATGCTCTTCACTAAGAACAAAATTTTAATATCTTTATTTTATGTCATGGGAGATATAGCTGCAATTCCTTGGGTCAAGAGCCTTCACTAGCATCAAGGTATGTCCCCTGAAGAGAATATTTCCTTTTAATCAAGAACAGGATACTGTATTATAATTATAACTAAGCACTAAACCCACATGGGTCTCAGGATATTGTAAATTAATAGATTATTCAGGATTATCAGTTGGTCATGATCCAAGGAACTGAACTTATTCTTCCACTTGAGCCTGAATGCCCCTCCCCTTATTATTTAATGCCACCTTATTGCTTGGGGCACCCTTTGACTTTAAAAGGGTTAATGCTTTTCCCTAAATAAAATGAAATCATCATTTGGGAATTTTTATAAAAGTCTTGTCAATTTTCTTTAAAGGGAAACTGAAAAGATAGAGGATGCACATATGGATGTGCTCATTTTATCATACAGTAAAAAATGATTTTGGGCCACTACATCTTTTTATATGACTTTTTGAAATAGTTTTTTGGACTACCTTGCTGTATAGCCCTTTTTTTTGATTAAATATAATAATTTGGGACTCCCTTTCTGCCATCAATTGATGTATCCCCCTTTGTGGTTAGTGTTTCTTTTTGATATAATAAAGGATGTTCTGAACAGAATTTGGAAAATTTTTTTAAATGGGGGCCAAGTGGGGGGGGAAAAAAACTGGATAATTTTCCAACCCACATAGCAACTACCCAACAAATAAGCTTTACTGGCATAGATTAACCCCCCTGACTCGGCTATAAAAAATTCCCCCTGAAAAAGTCATAACAATGACTAAAAATTTAATCCCCAACTTTTAACTAACCAAAAATTTACCAAATGTTGTTGACACGCCATCTTAAAAATACAATGCTTTGATGTTTGCCCTTTAGAAAGTCAAAGTTTTGGGTCACTTAACCAACCCTCTTTATCATTAGGCTTAGATATTAATTCGACCCCCGTCAAGCAGATCCCTTTATGCTAAAGGGGCCCATCAAAGGAACTGAACCCGTTTTCCCCTACCTTCCACAAAAAAAATTGTTCCCTTTCCCATGACTTATGGGCCAGCATCCCCATAATAATAATAGTTTGATTTTCCTTTCCCCCAATGTTAAAATTTTCTTATGTGTAATTTCTGGTCGAGGGATATTTATACAAAAGATTTAATCATCAAATCTTACCATCAAGTTTTTCACCAAAAAGAAATACAAAAACACATAATTATTTCAAAAAATTAGTTTTAAAACTAGTACCAGTACTGGCTACAGGAGCTTATTTAAAGTTTTTTACAATAACAGCATCCATAAATCATAAGAGGGCGACAAAAATTCGGGGGATACTTCCCAATTTTAATAAGAAAAATTTTTGGGATTTTCCTGTTGGATTTTTTTCACTATCACTGCCTAAATTGCCCACAGATTAATTTTTCACTGGATTCATTAATAGATTCCCAAAGGGTTTTTTAAAAAGATATTTGCTTGCATTATGTATTTGGCATGTACGGGGTTTGCAGTTTTTTCTAATTTGTTTTGGGGGTAGTACTAGCTTAGTGCATTTGAAGAATTTAAAAAACTATGATTATTTATGGGGGGATTTCCCACTGTTCTTAATGGTTTGGATTGAAGGGCTACAATTTGCAAAGTTCAGATAGGGCTGCACCATTTAGGACATATGCGGGGGACTGAAAGGGTATTTTTGGGACTGGCCCTTGCTTAGTCACAAAATGGTGAATAAAAAAGTTTTGTGTAGACATCAGCATAGAAAAAAAAAAAAAAAATTTAAACAAAAAAAATTTTAAATATAATAAAATGTAAATAGTATCACCCAAATTTAAAATAACTACAGTCCAATGACGGGAGGCGTATTTTATACTTGGTCTAAATTGTACTTAAAGGGGGCGTACGAACTTAATGATTTAGGGGACTTAAGGGGAAAAAAAGATAATTGGTAGGAAGAAAAATTTGAATGATAAATCTTACGAAGATTGTCTTTGTTACTTTACAAAAAGGGGCAGCTTCCCCATGAACAGAATAATAGACAATACTGAAAGACAAAATATTATGTGTAAGACAGTCTAGGGCAGTTCCACTAAAAAGCCGGGGCATTTCAACTTGGTATGGTTTTTTTGCAATCGTGTCATTACGATTTCGGAGTCATTTCAAATTTGTTGATCAAAGTCATTAAAAAAGAACAACACAACATTTTCTAAATTTTTGGGGGAGGGAAAAAGTGTTTTCTTCACACTGCTGCAGCGTGCCATTCAGTCCACTTGACCTATTTCCCCTTTTACAATCTATTTGGTTATACTTCTTTTTTTGGCTGTTACAACACATTTAAATTGTACATAGCAATTTTGTGTTGACCAACCTTCCTCTTATGTGATAAAAAACCCTCACAAACAGGGTAAGCGTTCATTGGGGACAACATTCACTAAAGACGAGCTTTTTTAGTCCTCACAAACGGGGATAAGGGTTTTGTGGCGAGGGAGCACTTGTGTATCAGTGGGTCAAGCATCTGTTCACATTTTCAGAGAACTGAGTTCCTCGTGCAACACGACATCTTCACCTTCTTGACAGGGGCAAAAATTTTTGTGGTTTTGCAGTACAGCAAAGAAAAATTTCTTAGTCACTACGAGTTGCATGTTCCCTCTGTAGAACTTCATTGAAGAAGATCCCCAAGTGAATAAAAATAAGGGGTACCCTGATTTCGTACAGCTCTAAATTTTTCCCTTTAGGGGAACGGCCTCTAACACCTTCTGAACGAATTAGGGCTGAAACCTGGGTACCACGTATAGTCTTGCTTGGTTGTTAATCTTTTTTGTTGGCAGTTTTCCCATCTTGATTCTTTTTAAAATATTATATAAGAAATTCTTAGCAACTTTTAAAAAGTCCAAGAAAATGGTTTATAGAAATATTAAGCAATTTTCAGATTTAAAAATTATGTCAATGCGAAGTATTCGATAAAAAAAAAGCCCTTTCTTTTTCCATTTTACTCTTTGAAATAAAATTTATTCAAAAGGCTCTACAAATCATATATGTATATACAGTACTATTTTCAATGTTTTTAATTCATTCCGGCAAAAGCTGAAAATATTTTAGATCTTTGTTTTTAAAGTATGGAAATGCCTTCATGTTACAAGCTTAATATAAGAATTTTGAATGTAGGGAAAAAATTGGTTTAAAAATTTTTTGGGGGGGCCCATATGGGGGGAAAAAAAAGCTTGTACACTTATTAAAAAATTTTTAATAGAAAACTATTGCGCTAAAAAACCATAAGCTTAGAGCAACACAAAGCTTTTAGGAACATTGTGGCATCTAAAAGCTATAATATAATGTGGATTAAGTAAGGGGTTTTTTTTTTTGCCGCATTAACATCTTCACTAATCTATAAGGTTCAGACGATACACCCATTCCAACTTTCTCAAAGTTTTTTTAATCTTTTCAAGGAATAAACGTATGTCCTTATTGTAGTAAAATGCCTGAGACTACCACAAAATTTTAGTAGATTACTTTTTCATTCCTATTATTAGTTTATTTTTTTTGCTGCAGACGGGAAAAATATGAGCAAAAGAATAAGTAAAAAACAATTTTTTTAATCTTCACCCTTTTGCCAACAATTGATTTTTTTTTATACATCCATTTTTTACTTCCACTCTTTGTTTAAGAGGTAATAAGGGGCCAGGCTTCTCTAATGAAGAACGGATTATCACCTGTAATCAACAACCTTCATGCCCTATTGTTTACATTTGAATCCAACCCCATTTTTTTGGTTGACTCAGACCAGGAAAATTTATTATCTAATTTTCAAAATTGATTTTTTTAAATGTTATTATTTCAATGGATACAGAATTAGTTTTTTTAAAATTTTTCAGTTGTCCTCTCTGAAGCAATGTCCCCAAATTGTAAAAGGGAATTTTTTAAATCTATATCCCATTGTGTCTTTTTGCTTTTCATACAGTTTATATACTACCTTTTCTACAATTTATTTTTCCGAAGCCCTAAGATTTTTCAATCATTTATTTGTAGTGATGTTTTTCATCCCATCCATCATACCTCTGTAAAACTGTTTGGCATCCATTATATTCTTCATTCATCATTTCCCCCCCCCCCTCGCTTGCAGCAACTTTCCACAGATTCCTCTGAATTTGTGAACGAAAATATTATTATTATTATAATCAAAAAGAAGGCAAAGCCACAAGGTAACAGCGCTGCGGGTAGGGAAAAGAAAGGAAATTTGGATGGCAGAAGGGGGGGGGGGATGATCAGCAGGTTACAGAAAACAGCGGGGCAGGGGGTAGTACGGGGGGAGAGGGTAGCAAAAAGATCAAGTAGAAAGGGCTGAAAGTATCAAAATTTTTTGGAGTAAGTCAGGGCGTTTTCAAAAAGCAATAGAGAGTCCGGATAAAGGTGGGTCCTCAGCGAGAAAGGGAAAATAAAGAGAGAGCGCGGGGCGAAGACACGACAAGGTAAATTCTGCTGCTCGTTGATAAAGTGGGCATCCAAAAGAAAGGGGCCCGATGATAATGGAGCTTTTCAATTCTCACAGAGAGGAGCAAGACCCCTCCATGAGATATCCCTGAGTAAGACGGTTTAAAGGCCAATGCGAAGACGGGGAGATAGTCTCCCAACCTCGACACTGGTGATAAGAAGACGGGCCATAAATATCTCGGTTTTAACGAA